TAATCGTCGTTGGCTCGCTCCACCTCCTCCTTCGTCGGTGCTTAAATCATTGTAAGATGTTAACTTTATTTTGAACAAATATATTTGCACGACTTCATGTTATTATTAACTTTATTGTAGCAATTTTATGATTTTAATTTTCTTCCCGTTAGTTTGAACTCACCTGGATTAAGAACTGGATTTTAATTTTCTTCCCGTTATTATGAACTTCATGTTATTATCAACGAACTCACCTGGTCCCATTGTAGAAATTGCCTCGGATTCTTTTGTAAATGGATTTGTTGATCTCACCTGCCCAATTAGCTTCAATCCTAATCTTATTCTAGCAAAAGGCCTCATTTGCAATTGTTATTGGCATGCTTCCCATATACAAGTCTTAAAGAGTTCGTTGTGCAGTGGTGCTTGATCATGCTCTAAGTAGTGTGATGCTGGCTACTGTGAAAGTTGCTCTATCAAACTTTATTAGTTAGCAATTCTCTATCTTTTGTTTTAAGAAGTAATGATTCCACATAGACTTTATACAAGAATGAATATCAGTATTATGCTTAAATCGTATCTTTGCTCCCATAAACTTATGATGGATTAAGGTTCTTCTTTATTTCTTCTTAATTTAATGCATATATGTTTATGCTAAAGATGTTAAGTCTTGGACCTTCTACTAACTTTTCCCATATAAATAAAAAAGAAATTAGATTACCTTTCAAAGGCAATGGCATCTTCCTATATTGGAATACATGAATAGCAATTCTAATATTTTTTCATGGCATTTACAAAACACTCATATTAGTATGCATCTTAAGAGGTTTATATACTTTTCAGGCTAAATATTGATCCATTGTTGTTTAATACTGCTAATGGATCAACAAAACAATCAATCTGCACAATCAACTCAAAGCGTTCGTGATAAAGTAGATATCGCTTGGAACCATTTTACTGAGTGTAAAACCACTGATGGTAAGAAGCAATATAAATGTCTTCATTGTGGAATAATTTATAAGGGAGGAGGCATTCATAGGATGAAGCAACATCTAGCAGGGATTAAAGGGACATTGCTTCTTGTAAGAAGGTGACACATGACATATGACATCAGATGCAACAAAATTTGAATGAGATATCAAAGAAAAAACAACAAGCACAACAAGACTTGTCGCAGATTGATGATTTACTTGGTGAAGATCCAGTTGAAGAAGAGAGGGGCTCATGTTCAGTCACGAAATCACAAAGTTCAGATATACATGGTAAAGGAATGGATAAAGGAAAGAGAAAAATTGATGAAATTGATAATTTTTTTGCACCTAGAACAAAA